GTGGTGACGGATTAAGTCGATGTGTCACTACTCTTGTTCAGCCCATGGATGTGACAACTAAGGGAACAAACTACGCAGGACAAAAGCCATGCAAAGAGAAGAAAAATTGAATCAAACCCTAAGGAGAGGCCAATGTCCAGCAGTGGACTTTTAAATACTACTGTTCTATGACGTCACCGTTCGAAGAGCAAAACTACTGTAGTCCACCTAATGTAAGAGGAAGGTACCCTTTGACCTTTCATACTTGTCAAGCCGAATCAACTTTGTATTGGCGTAACTCACACAATTATAATAAACTTTTCCATAAAACCATGGAATTATGAAACTATGTATTTCCATTTTATCAAATTAACGTTTATACGAATAATCATTAAAATGTACGAATAATCGAACTTATTAATAACCTGCCATTTTAAATGAAGACTTCTTTTAGTATTTACAATTTCAATCAATGAAGTTAGCTGCAAACCAAATGTTGAGCAGGTACACTCGCAAACAAACCTACTGGACCATAAAATACATTTTTATTTACTGTTCGGTGCGTTATTAATTATTTATTTAATTTATATTAATATAATAACTTTTGTTCCCTTATTCGCTATAGATAAGACAGATTTGCTTTGCGCAGAAATTGTACAGTTGTGTTGAAATCGTCTCCTCGTAGTTTTCCTTAATATTATTATGTCAATACATACAGAAAACAAAAAACACTTGCAAGCAATTATCTCCCTTAAAAATATTTCTCCAAAAACGTGTTTTTAACGTGTCAATGGTGCTGATCACGAATATTAAAAAGAAATTGGACATTGTGCAATTTCATGAAGTCGAAAATTGCTTGCATTTATTTTTTGAGATGAGTATTTAAAAAATAGCTGCAAGCAATTTTTAACCTAATACACCATCTCAATATTAAATTTCTTTTGATATTCGCGATCAGCATCATTTATAGACTGATGCCAAATCACGTTTTTAGAGATATGTCATTAAGGGCGAAAATAACATGCATTTTTTTTGTGTTAAACGTGCAAGGTGTATTTTCGACCTATTTAACTATTTATAATTCCCATTGTTGACCCTCATATGTTCCTGAAACTAGACCTTATGCTGAAATTTATTTGTTTTTACTTATGTGTGTTCATTTGTTTATATAATGTTCATTTGTGTTTACTGACTTTCATTTGTCTACATTACTTATATAGTTCTACTTGTAACACCTAACATATAAAAATATACGGACTTTTACAGTAACATACATACATCTATAAAACTGTAATTGATTTGTAAATACAACGAAGTTATATCGACATCTTTTGAGAAACAGATATCGTAGTATTCGATTTCTTTGACCCCCTCCCTGACAGTTTGTCTGGACTGACAAAACGGCACCTCTTAGATCAGATGGACTATAGGACAGAGTACTTTATATTGTATGGTGATTTACTGTAAGTGAAAAATTTGCACTGTAGGTAATCCGAATAAATACGAAATTGTTGCAAAATAATAGGTCTTTACCTGTAAAGTTGGAGATGTTGAAAACCAGCGTTCTCAAAATTTAATTATTTGTGGATAGACGCGCAATTCTAAGTTCAAATAATTTGTTTGAAAGCCATGTTATTTTAATTTAAAATTCAGTAATTTATTTTAGATAGTGGTTTGTATTTGTGAAATTGTGGTAGATTTTGGCGCCATGGTTTAACTTAAAATTCGTACAATTGCAAACAATGATGGAGAAGCTCACAAAATTAAGCCAAAAGTGGAAAAAAATTCAACATCCGAGCGGCAGTACAAAACGCTTTCGCTGACTTGATCGCCTCCCGTCCACCGGACTTCTACAGTAAAGGGATAAACAAACAAACTGCAACCAAAATGGTAAAATTGAAAAATAAAAAAATAGACAAATTTTAAACAAAAATTTAAAATTTTCATTTAAATCTTAAACTTTATAGGTACCCTTAGTTAGTACCCGTTACAAATCCTTTCTATATATATATATATATATATATATATATATATATATATATATATTAAATATCCTGTGGTAAAAATCCTGTTCATAATAAATAACTTATTATTTACACTACATTTTTAAATCACTTTTCTGTACCAAACTCTTATGTATATTTGCGCACCTACCAACTACAAGGTCAAAGTTTCTCATTGGTGTTTCCAATTACTCACGGATAAAAAAAGCAACAATTTTTGAAACAAATTAAATTAATTAACAATTATGCTTTCTGCGTTTATATTTAAGGCTGCCGTCAATAGATCTATTGAATTAAATATATATTTTAAATTTTCAAGCATTCTGTCAACTGGCAGATTGTTCCATTTCAAAAACCAAATCGCATCGACAAAACATCCTTAAAGAACATTTACCCGTTATGTTATACATAACAAAACATATTTGGTAAGGTTGAGGTAATTTTGTAAAAAAAACACGTGAACAAACCAGACATATGGACGTGTCGAATAATTTTAATTGAACGCGCCACGTAAAGCGAAGCACGCGATTCTAATATTACGTTATAAAAATGTTTGTATTAGTGAGGAGACAATGAATGTCACATGGCGACGATGAGAGGTGCACACGAGCATTGATTTATCTATCATTACACAATAAACAGTTCAATAAAGTTCCAAGTCAAGAGGACCGATGACTGAGGAGCGTTCAAATTAAGTGTGCCGTGTGTTGTATGCGCGTAGATATCTTGCAACAGCGGTTAACTTATATAATATTCAAAACATAACCTAGGATTAATAAAAGTATTATTATCTCTGTATAATTTGTGTTTAATTGTGTAGTGTCGGTAACCACTCCACGACAGTTCCTGAAATAGAATCATTTCTAACTTTATCAGAATAGATGTAATGTTATTATTTGCTCTAAAGACGACACGTAAATTACTTTTGGATTCGGAGAAGGTGCAAAGGAAACCCGATTGCGCCGTCCCGGTGGAGGATCAATTCAATTCAACTTAATGTTGGGGTATATTTTGTACAGCCGATGCTTTGCGGCAATTTATCGCAGAATTCAGAGAAACATTTGTTGCTCGAGTGAGAAATGAAAAATTAAAGAAGCAAGCGTAAATTCTCGTAACAGTATCCGTGCATGTATTGATAGGTGATATGAATAAAATTTGCCAATTCAATTGAAATATTGATCGTTATGGTTAAATGTAAACCGCAAGGAGTGAGCTCATCGCAAACCACTGCTATGACTTATTTGCATTTCATTTATCGGTGTATCACAGTCTGTCACGGCATGCTCCGACTGAAAAGTAAGTCAAACAAGGACAAATTCTGCTCTTATTGATTTCTAGGCAGTGATCTAAGATACGGGTATCTAATAGGCGACCTGTACTCGGTATCGTACTGTTACCTAACAAATCATTAGCGGCACCGCTCGGCGGCGACCGCCCACAGCCCTGTGCTTACATCGACCGGCATACGTGGCCGTCCTACAACAGGACCTAATGCAGTTTTCTCTAAGGCAAGGCTAAAATTCATCATTTTACTTCAGTTCTAAAAAATATTTAGTTCTTGAGGTATTAATTGTTCGAGGGAGTAGGCTTTGTATGAGATGAAGTTCGATGCTTCTAGTGAGCTATTTAGCCCTCGAATCCTGAGAATATTCTGCGTCGAGCTGAGCCCGAAGTACGCAGTTCTTCTCTTATATGAACAGGTCTGCTTTAGCGCCTGCTGTGGTATGTATATGTAATAGAGGAAAAAAGGAAATGTCGATTTGTAACTGTTTCTCGATAGTTATGTACGGCTAGCTACTAGCTAACTCTAACAGGGGGTACTTTCTACCTCCGAGAACGGGCAACATTATAAGTCTACGTACTTCAGTATGCAGCAAAACAATAACAATAATCGGCCTCATACGTTAATGTTCTATTGCAACATTTATTGTTCCACATGTACAAGTGTTAAGTGGCGGTTGAACGGTGACGACCAGAACAGGTGTATGGCTGAGGTGCGAGGCAGTCCACTCTCTACTAGAGTAGCTGTGCGAGCTTTTAGTGTTTTGTGTCAAGGTCCCGCTCACAAACGCGCAACGTCGCCATTTCACATATACTCGCCAGCAGCTGCTGACAGGCAGGCAGCGCCCCGCCCCCGGCGTGCGCTGCAGGGGTGAGCAATGGCGTCCCGAACACGTGGTGCAAACAAATGCTAACAAATAGTAAGTATATATAATGTGACGCTGCCGAGAGCCGCAGACGTGCGCGTGAAAGTCGCAAACAGTTATTCATAGTCGCGAATCCGCGCTCGCGCAATAGGTATCAGGCGGCCGCGTAAGGCCCAACGGGGACGAGCAAATGCAGTATTAATGTTTAGCGCTTCGTCTCTGTCAACAGCCGAGCGGTTTGTTAGAAGTCGCGCCGCCGTCGTTGCACTACGAAACGGTTGTCGTAATAAACTAATTAACTATCACAATTAAAAAGTATAGCAGCGAGAAATGACTCACCTACCGACACCACTCGTAGTGTTGCCCATCGCAATTTGAAAATATAAATTAGGTAACGTAAGGGTATAGAAACGCAACCAAACGTCTTGGGTCTGCCACTAGGTGATATGCCGGGTGCAACATGTCAACCAGCGGCACCCTATACGAGTTGTTCAGTGGCACTGAATGACATGCATGCGATAGTCAGTCCGGACAACAGAGCGTCCGGAATTCAACTCGGAAGTTGTTTTACGACGCGCATAATTGTTAAAACTTAGGTTAAAAATTACTGTTAAAACATTAAAATGGTTAGGTTTATGAACATGTCACGCAGTGTTTACAAGTCACGTCCCTATTTGATACACAGTTGTGACATCCAACAAACACACTATTTTTAATCGTTCCTTGGAAAAATTGTACCACAAGCAAATAATGAATAATTCAATAGTATCACTAACACAGAACACAATAAGGACGCTTCTAGCTAAACCGGCAGGGATTTAAAAAACTTTGGCCCCGTCATTCCGATTCCGGAGTAGGGCCAAGCGGTGCAATGCGCGGGGCGCCTGTCGTTCCGGCGAATACCTGGACTCACTTGTGCGTGCGTGCAGCGGGTTGCAGAGCAGGGTTGTGGCTGCGGGGTGAGCGGCGTCGTCAGCTGGCAGGCATGGGGCGCGAGAGAGGCGCGTGGTGCGGCGAGCCGGCCGTGGTACTTGCGTGTGCGGGGCAGAGCGGACGCGACGGGAGGCGCGAGTCGAGCGAGCGTGCGGACGTCGACGCGGTTGGGGCGCGACTGGTACTGCGGAGACGTCGACTGCCGAGTGTCGATGTCGCCGCGCGCCCCGAGAGGCCGAGATGCGCAGCGCGGAGGCTGCGTGCTCCCCCGCGCCGCCTTGCTTCCCGCCGCCCCGCCGTCTCTACGCTGCTCTGCGTCTCATCACACATAACCCGCTTGACATTGTAAACAAACACCAATATACTCGTTTGGGCTGCCGCTCACAAGCTCCTCGCGAAGGGTAGCTTCTGTGAATACATCACATTTTGATCTGCCCAATATACTCGTAATTACTGACACATATCGTGTTATAAAGCTAAAAGAATGTTGCGGAGAGTAGCACGTGTCTATTGAGATAGGCATTAGTGGTAATAGAGTAATCAAGGGTGGATCCAGACCGTATCGTGTCCAATACGTTACCTATGTAATTGGAGCTTGCCGTAAGCCGTGACTACACATGAGAGCCTTTCTTCCCAACCCGATTTAAAAGTTAGACCCGCTCCTGCATTAAGTGTGTTGTGCGATGATCGTTCCGACAGCTCCTTTACCTATATGCATGCTATCATGCAAATAGGTAAAGGAGCTGTCGGAACGATATAAACATAGGTTTGGTACAAGTTCTCTGGTAAACACAACAGCGCGATCCCACACCGACAAACAAACGATATGATGCTTAGATTCGTTCTCACACTTTCGTGGTGCATTTTGTATTGTTTGACGCAATTAAATCTTTTTAGTTCGTACCTCGGGCTGCGAGGGCATTGTAGGTACAATAAGCCAATGTCGTTTAAACATTTTCTAAACATTTTTTTTATCTATCACACAAGATAGTTAATATAATTGAGTAAAGTGACTTCGACCAAAGTGTCGAATTTTGAGTGATGGTAAAATACCCCATAGCCATAATCCTCTATGGCCAATGATGTTTACAACGTAACGGCAACTAATGTGTCCAAAATTACACTCGAAGCTCTCTCACCAATTTATAATTTCAATTTCTTTATTTCAGGCTACAGAGATCCCAATTTCATGACAATATGTATATAATAGCTCTGAAATCTGCAGTTGAACTTCACACCAGCCTCGGATTATATCGTAAGCACAAGACGAGTGACGCACATTGAACAGTCCCACCTGTGGGCACCTGGCACACAACGCACGAGCTGTCAAATATCGTCCAAGAACAACAAAACAACAAACCTATCAAAATTAATTTTAATGGTAAGTGACCTTGAACTTAGGTCAATTTTGACATCTCTCAGTGTACATTAAATAATAAATTCAACGAGTGATGTACTGAAGGTTGAGTGGAGTAGCTGCTGTTAGTCCTGACTTACTTCTCCGGACCATCGAGAGCACGGTCTCAAAGCGGTGCCAAGCTAAACATCAAATAGGCACTCCATGGGGAAATGAACTAAATAATATCATACCAATATATGTTATGAATGGTAAACAAGGTAGGTGCCTAGCGGGTTCGATTCCCCCTCAACTCAAACATTAGTTGTGTGCGTAAATATTTAATGTTTGATTTTAGGGTTTTTCTATTTTTAATTTGTATGTATTTACAAAAAAAAAGTATATTTGTATTTATATCAGTTGTCTAGTACTCAGGGTCCGTGTGGTGACAGATTAAGAATACAGAGTGTCACTACTCCTATTCATCCTGTGGTTGTCGTAAGAGCCGGCTAAAGGAAAACACTACACAGAATAACAGCACTGCAGAGAGAGGGAAAACTTAACACAAACCCCATACCAACCAGGCCAGTGTGGTAGGTATAGTAGGCCAAAAAATCCTTTGTAAGGAGAGGCATGTATTTCCAGCAGTGGACTATTAAAGGCTGTTGATGATGATGATAATGTCTAGTACAAACTCTGCTTAGTTATTTTCTTACTTATTTTATACACATATCGATTATATTTTTAACAAAATTAACTGTCTTGTGTGATAGATAAAAAAGGTTAGAAAATGTTTAAACGACATTGGCTTATTGTACCTACAATGCCCTCGCAGCCCGAGGTACGAACTAAAAAGATTTAATTGCGTCAAACAATACAAAATGCACCACGAAAGTGTGAGAACGAATCTAAGCATCATATCGTTTGTTTGTCGGTGTGGGATCGCGCTGTTGTGTTTACCAGAGAACTTGTGTCAAACCTATGTTTATATCTTCATGTGTAACTTTAGTGCAGGCTGTTGATAATATAACATTACGTAATAAACGAATTTCTTCACACCTCGCACCTCGCATACATCACGATATTGCAGCGCGTGGTGCGCTCGCGCACGGGGTCGCACGCGTTGAACTCTTTAACAGGATCGCAACAAGCACTACCCGCCCCCGCCGCTTCAGCGTCCCACTAGGCCACGCACTTGTTCGTAATGTAGCGCGGGTCCTAGTCGCACTCTGCACTAATCACACCTGCTAATACCTAAGCAGAGCAGTGCAGTGCTAATAAACTTGCGCATTATTGACTGGCGAACAGGTTTAAGGGAAAGTCCACTGGATAGGTGTGCATAAGGTCCGCCTGTCCGATGGGAGGGGAGTAGCACTCACGTGACAGTGCACTCGCACACACGCACGAGGTGCATTTAGATTGTCTCAGTGACGTCGCGGTACGTCCAGTTATGTACGTGTTTGAGATGGTTGAGTACGAGGTGTCCGGCGACGAGCCGCCAGCCGGGAGTGCACCCGGAGGTACCGCGGAGCCGACGCGGGGCGGGGACTCAATCGACGGTTACACTAACAACGAACAACAATCTCTGCGCCGACAGTGCACTCTCTCACAAGCGCGCGCGTCACATGACTGCTGGCCGCGCGCCGCGCCCCTCCACCACCACCCGCACCGGCCTGCGCACTTAATTGCTTCATTTAAACACACGTAATGAATACGTATATAAGATATCGCTAAGTGTTCACCGAATTGTCGGTTCTAACTTATCAGGCTCATTATTGTGGCATTCTTTGTGATTCTTGATGTTCGCTAAATATGGAAGTGAACTCAGTTGAATAGTAGTACATACGAGGAGCTTCCGTAGCCGCGAGGACATGCGTCTCACTATAGCGGGGAGGGGGAGGGCTACAGGTGCAATAAAATTATAATTGAACTTTGAGCCAGTGGTCGACGAGCGCGACCTACCTACAAAGAAGAGGGAGAGATGGGTCGCATCGCATAGCACGCTGAGTGCGCTATCAGCCAACAGGTGGTGGACACAGTATGTGTACGCGCGAGGTTAACGAACTCAGCGCACGCGCGCGCTTTGTGGAACTACGCCGGCACAGGAAAATGTGTCCACCGGGGGGGAGCGGTGCATCATGTGACTGCGCGGGGAGGAGGAGGACCTCCATTGATGGAGGCGAGTTACTAGCTTGTTCTGCGCCGCTCGCCCCCTCCCCCTTCCTCCCCACTTCTCCACCTCGCCGCCGGATGCTCCGTTAGAAAGTCCTCACAAGAAACATTATTGGGCGTGATGCTCCTGTGACCCTGTTACTGACCTACACTATGCGACGCATTTTTGTGGACATACTAACTGCTGTTCTGCTTCGTTAAATAAAACGTTTGGGCCTATGACCCCAGCGCTACATAGTGCTGGCGCTAGCAGACTCCGGCGACGACTTCATCTTCTGCCTGCACTCCACAAGGTGCAACGAGTCGAGTGCTGGTAGAAGGCAACTAGACGGGGACGTAGCAAGCCGCTCTGATTATCAAGGATTGAACTTTGTTCGAAGGTACCATAGGAAGGTAGTTTTTGAATCAACACAATACGAATGAGCTTTATTTATCTTATCATTGATCTTAAATACTTGTTTACAAAATAATCTATAGCATTCCAAACCTCTAGTGGATTATGAAACTTAAACGCGTTGTGTATATATGTCGTTGGACGAAATGAAAACAACAATAAATTATTATAGACGCACACCAACATGCACATGTGTGTAGTACGTAAACACCCACATGTCCGTGTGTCGATCACGCGCAACTCGTAAACGGCCTGAATTACGATTCGAATACCTATTTATTTGATCTACTTACACTTGAGATTAATTCACTCTTTGTTTATTGTACTTGAGCAATAAAACATATCTTTGATTATATTACAACAGCAGACACTATACTTCAGATTACGCACATATTTAGTTTAATCGGTGGGGCCAAAGGTAGAAGGCCATTTATTGATAATAAGCTAAGCTTCAAACGATGAATCTATCTGCACGTTCTCAAATGTTGCTTTCATCATCAAGCTCTCGTTGTCACATCACAAATGATGAAAGCTCGTCATTGGTCCTCCTAGAAATTGGCGATAATTGGCGGGCGATGAGGTGGTCGGCGGTTAGGCGCTCATCGAGTGCTGGTCGAGGTCCCTGCAACGTCGCTGTTAGTGGTATGCACTTAGTGAATTTGAGAGTTGATAGGCTCAGTGCTCAGGCTGTTGCGATAGACGACCGTTACTCTACAGCGATGTCCGTGCACCCGACGGCGCACTGAACACTCCACTCGTACAAACCCCACGTATATGTATATTGGGCCGTGTGACATGCAAAGTCATCTTTACTCATATAGGTAATACAGGTAACGGTTAAATATTGGCAACCTCCTTGTTATGCACAACCTTTTTACGTGTTACTCAATATTCATGATCATCTTCAACAGCCTTTAATAGTCCACTGCTGGACATATGTCTCTCCTTAAAAAGGAGGTTTTGGCCTACATTACCACGCTGACCAGACGGGTTGGTGTAAGGTTCAAGTTTTCAAGGTTTCCTTCTCTTTGCAGTACTGTTGTCCTGCGTAGTTTGCTTTGATTTGAATGTGCAGAGTATCTACACACATACATTATGTATATATGTTCAAGCGTTGTAAATGAAACACATTTAAGTACTGTTCACTTATATTTGCATACGATCGATTTGTTTCAATAAAAATGGGAGGCGCTTCACAAACCAACAACATGCTCATCATAAGCGGTAGGTTCACGGTTCACGATCGTAGGTAGCTAGGTAAAAATAGTAATTTAAGTATATTTTACCACTATCTCGGGTCATATTCCGTTTAAAGTATCGGATAAAATAACAAAACAGCTTAAAATTATACATTGGTGAATATTGTATTACATTTCTTTCATTTCGTGATTTTAGTTGGTGACAATATTGGAAAAAGATTTAGGTAAAATTGAATTCTTACAACCATGTGATCGCTGCAGCACTCCATCACGATATTAATGAAGTTATATGTGATTAAATTAGTTATATGTATAGTATAATAAATATATGAATAAATGTATGTAGTTAATATAATATTAAACCAGTACTACAAGTATTTTTGTAATGTATATTATACCATATACACATATACATATATAGGTACATTAAACCACTTTAAATCGGTAGTTTTATTATACGCATTTACGGTATAAAGGACATCGTGACGACTACTGAAATAGTGAATTCAGACCATTATTCTGAGTCGAAAATCATTATAATTTTCTGCTGGAAAATTAAACTTTTTGTGCAATCAGCTGTCAAAGGTTAGGGTCATTCCCCGTATGCGTATATCGCAACAAAGTAAAAAATACATGGCGTCCGGTTGTTGTTGGCGGCCGGAAGGGGGGACCCGCGCGCTTTGGCTGTTTCATTAATTGCATTGCAAAATTTGACCGTATGCGGTATTTATTAAATTGTTTTATGTGAAATATTCTGTTTACTCATTGTGATATTTACTTTTAACCAAAAAAATGGCAAATTATTAAAAAAGTTGATGAATTTTCCGGCAGAAGATTCCAATGATTTTCGACTCAGAATCGTGCTCTGAATACACTATTTCAATATTCAGCGGTTATATACCACTATTTCAATCACTCCTGAACGGGTGTACCGGTTAGCAAGCGAAGCCGGCTACCGCAGACGGCTGTCTCACAGTGCACCGCTCCGGTGGCAATCGATCTTCATCACGGCTCGTTCAGATAGTTATTTTGTTTGGCCTTCTCACAATTTATTTAAATGTTTTCCTTACAATTATCTAAGTCTAAATCAGTTAATTTAAGCATTTACATTTACTTGCGTGTTGAACTGGTCTCGTGTATACTCGTATATAACATTTCTGCAACAGGAAAAAACAAGAAAACGGGCGGTTTAACCATTAAGTATAGGTAGTTAGTAGACGTAGACTCAATATTAAACTTCCACAAACGTACCTACTCACATATCCGAAACTAACAAAGGTCAATTTCGTTATATATTGTATTCAAATAATATTTGTATGAGGTGTTTTTTTATCACAATTTGAATTTACATAAATATGTGTGTTGGAAATATTCTGATTCCGTATTTAATATTCAGGGCAATGTATGCTTTAATAATAATGCTTTTAGAATGGCTTGTCTTCCTATCAATAAAATATTTAGGTACTTAATGTTTTTCAACAAAGCTTCATTAATGTAAAATGTATAAAACATTATAATGAATTAATGTTAGATATGAACGTATGTCCAAATTGAGGCACGAAGTACTGAGCAATAACAAGATCAATGATCATTTAAAAGTTCGTTGTTCATACAGTACCAAGTTGTCTGCCGACCTTCATCATTGTCAGCTTATACCTATACCTATATTATTTATACGATAATTATGTCGCTGCGATACGCGCATAAGTATCTTGTACGCAAGGAGGCTGTCCATTCCAACAGATATGGGCCTTCGCGCCACGTACGATGTTTTGTCAAACCTCTCCTCCAAACAGTTTGTCACATGACGAACCATCTGTTTCGTGTACCTTTCTTTTATTCCGTTTTGTATAGTTTGCGATCGGTCCGAATCCGGTACCGAAATTAGTGACAGCGATGTCCCATTAATTGCATAGCGGGGGGTGTCCAGCATTTTCAATTTCCATCCACACACACATTCGAAGGCTAGGCCTCTCCACCAATAGGTGTGACTTTACACTTGCCGTGGATAGTTGGAGGGAAGACTGATCTATGCATTGCAAGCAAACCGTTTATATTTATCCGTTTATTTTTAACAACTCTCGCATTTTTTAGCATTTCGAAAGATATCCCAATCGTGTGCGTAATCACCCTCAAGAGAACGCTTCCCGTCAATTTCACCACGGCCGGGTGCAAATCGCACATGAAGCATAATGAAAATACCGACACAGCGCATATGGTTTATTTATTTCCTTTGACTACTGTATCTCGACACAGCCAGGACCGAGGTCCAGTTACGCTCGTCACTGGCACACTGACATGCACCATATCCTCTCTCGAGAGCAGATAACGCACCTGTAACAATTTATTTGTCAGTATCGGCGGCGAGCACGTGGCGCTGGCGGATCACACTCGAAACGGCGCGTTCGGCTGTACCTCCACATCACGTTCGACCGACACAATGACCAATAAAATAAATACGTATATACACTAGGACAATTACTATTTATGGAGGAGTGGCAATGGCGCGCGCGGGGGGTCTGTCGTCACCACGTGCCGATTCCAATTTATTGAGGCCCTTTATTGCTTGTACTTTCACAGAGGCGAGTCACTACCATGCGTTACTTACAGCGAAACATAATAGAGGTATGTTCGTAAATGTATAACACGCCTCATTCATATTAAGCACTTTTATTACGTACATTGATCAATAACTAGGCACTGTCAAATGATGAACATAAACTTATTCAAAGTCAAGTTTTACTTTTCCATGAAACTTGCGTATTAGACTACTTTCGGTATACTTAGAGAGTTTAGGTAAAACAAAAGTAACGAACTTGGGCTAGGCTTGACCGCCACGTCCGGCCTCCGCTAAATGGATGAGAGCCAAGACGCTGCTACTTTCGGTAGAACTTCAGAAGGAAAAAACCTCGTCCACTACTAGTAGTAACTACTAAAGGAAGGCGTTACCGTTATTTATCCCTTTGTCGAGTGGCACCGCACCGCGCCGCGATCAGCTCAACTAACACTACAGGTGTGTATAAAATGCATTAGCATTTGCACCATTCAGACATAGGAACATGAAATGATGTGTAATGAAACAAAATGTAGATCAATTATTGTTCTAGGTAGTTCGTGATGTAACGTGGGTACATGAGTGCCACAAGTTTTACCATATAGTGGCAGATCGTAGCAGGAAAATAATCTCCAACCACACAGGTCTCATAGTAAGACAATTGTTGTCTAATTATGAGAGCTGTGCACATCAAATTGTGTGATAAGGTAAGGTGCCAAAACGATGTACAATTATCTGACTGTACGGATGGCGTAGAGGTTTAAGCGGTCGCCACGCCGCTTACTACTACGCGTTGTGGGTTCGATGCCCACATGTGCCGACACTTTGTGTGATTCACAAATTATTGTTCTGAGTCTCGGTGTTCTTTGTGTCCGTTTCATGTATGTTACTAAAAGTCCTCCGCGACACAGGATATATTCCTAATAAAGGAGTTGTTTAAAAAAAATCTAGTGATCGCTTTTGGCCGACCAGGCATTGTCCGAATTAAGATTGTCAACAAGAGATTCGAAGAAACCACCGTGACGAACGTAGACTCCACCAAGCCTTAACCCTAAGCTCCAGGCAATTTGTACTTTAAACTTCAGTTTTCTTCCTTAAATTTAGGATAGCCACGAGTAATTTAATATTGTATTAAAAGCCATCCATCTATCTTGGAAGCAGTCGGACACAATCGGAAAAAAAAAACTTTTTATGCGATATTACTACAAATTTTGCATTTATGACTTTTTCCTTTACTCGTGACGAAAGACCTTGCCCCTTGCCAAATTCATGATTGTAGGTCAAACGGAAGTGTCGTGGAGGCATGTTGTGATGAGGGAGTAGGCGAGTCGTGTCAGATGTTACCGCAGGACACAGGTAGACAGACAGTTGGGTGAAGGCGGTTCCAATAAAATGCATCCACAGTTACGTAACGTAAGACGCTTGCTAATCAATAGTTTTCTAGATGCGTCCTTCGCCTTCAGCAATTATTCCTTGTCGATTGATGTGAGCTAATAATAACTCGAGCATTCCCCACCCCCTTACAGCGGCCTCCGGCCCCTTCACCACACTATCTCCAGCCACATTCCGCGCTCCAAGCTCGGTGGCGTCGCCCGCATCATGTCACTTAGTCGATTTATCATGAACACATGTAAAATTACTTGCCCGGGCTGTTTACGAGGCTAAACCGATGGGCTACATATGTTTTTAACAGTGTGGAAGTTTAAAGTTGGAAACACGCAACAAGAAGTATTCACGCTGACGATAGCTAGTGGTAGGTACATTGCGAGTGTTATGCTGCAAGATGGTTCGACGTCACACCGAGCCCCCTGACCCACATATAATTGAACATATCAATCATCATCAATGACCAATAAATATGGCATATGTTTGTTAGTGGTCGAGTGAGCTATCGTTTGTAACCGGGTTTAAAACGGGTTTCATCGCCATATTCTAATAACTATTAAAGAAAAAGAAATAAAATAGTTTAGTTTGATTTTAAACTTTAAAGCAC